GGGAAATGGGGGGAAATGATGGTGGCTACCACCGACAGGCGGGCCCGGAGAGAGGAGTAGGCGCGCGCGCGTCTGTCTCGTGACCGCGCCGACGCAAATCCGGCTTAAACTTGGGCCTGGAATGGGTCGCCTGCGGACGAAAAACGGACGAGCGTCCATTTGGGTCGGCGCGTTGGGCCGCCACTTTTGTCCGCGCCGACCCAAACGAACGCGGGCGGACGAAATGGGTCGCCCCATTGAAGTTGCTCTAAGTAGATGTTGTGGGTGAGCAAGCGAGGGCGCCAAACCTACCGCGGATTCAGATGGGATTGTGTGTCGAGTAGGAGTTGGCCTTACTGAGAGTGCTGGCGGTGAGCAGCCAGGCGGCCGGGCGATCGCCGTAGAGGAGAAGGGCGGAGAGGAAAGGGGCCGGCGGTGGGTCAGTGGCCACCGCAGTGGTCCAGGGTTAGGGGACTCTCCCGAAGTACCAATCAGTTGGGCTGGACAAAATGGGCCTAGTCGATGTTGCTTTCTCTTTGCTACAGCGGGGGCGTTCGGCGCGTGTGATGGTGTGGAATGGGATATGGAGGGCAACAAAATTGCGTCGCTGCGATCCCCTCTTTTTTTTTTGAGGGGAAGCCGCGTTCCCCTCGAAAGATTTTTGCCTAGCTGCGTCCAAATTTTCCCTCTAGCGGGTAACCATTTATTTCTTTCACACTTGCAAAATTCGTGAAAATAAATTTAAAAAACAGCTTTTTTACAGATATTTGAATTTTTAAAACTTCTCAATACCTTCATGAATTTGAAAAAATGTTAATAATTTAAAATAATGTAGATGGATTTAAAATTTGTTATAGAAATTAAAAAAAATCATGAATTAGAAAATATTTAGGAATTTTAAAAATACCAATAAAAAATATTCATGGATTTTAAAAAACTATCACTAATTTTGAAAACTCATAGCTTTGAAAAAATGTTCATGAATTTAAGCCATTTTTATTAAAAAATGTACATGAGTTAAAATGGAAAAAAGAAAAGAAATAGGAAAAGGAGAGGGAAAATAAGAAGGGGTAAGACCAACAAAGAAAAATACATAACAAGAAAAGAAGAGAAGAAAACGGAATAAAACCACACTGTATACATCGGCCCGCCCGCTATCTCCTGCGTGGACATTTTGTATACGTAAACAATAGTATTCCCCGCTGTTGTACGCCGAAACGCCCTTGCCGGAAGGATGATCATATGTGGAAGAAACCAAACCAAGGGACTGTTAAGATCAATGTGGACACATCATTTCATGCTGAAAATATGTTAGGAGCTTGCGGAGCTGTCCAGGGATGAGGACGGCAACTTTATTGCAGCGGCACCTTGGATATTACCAGTTGC